TCTCCGCCTTGACAAAAAGCCCATTCTCTAACAACCTCTGAAGCACTCGTCTGACGTGCTGAACGTGTTCCTGGAGAGAAGATGAAAAAATCAATATGTCATCCAGGTAAACATATATGAATTGGTCGACCATATCTCTCAACACGTCATTGACGAGTGCCTGGAAGACCGCCGGGGAGTTGGACAGCCCGAACGGCATGACCAAGTATTCAAAGTGCCCCCTAGGGGTATTGAACGCGGTCTTCCATTCATCGCCCTTCCTTATGCGAACCAAATGATAAGCGTTACGTAAATCCAGTTTTGTGAAGATGGATGCTCCCTGTAACCGCTCGAAGGCTGAAGACATCAACGGCAAAGGATAAGTATTCTTTACCGTGATGTTGTTCAACCCCCGGTAATCAATACACGGTCGCAGAGATCCATCCTTCTTCCCCACAAAAAAGAACCCCGCCCCCGCAGGAGATGAGGAAGGGCGAATGAACCTGGATGCCAGAGAATCAGAAATATATTTCTCCATAGCCTCCCTCTCTGGGACAGAAAGCGAATATAATTTGCCCTTAGGCGGAGACTTACCTGGCACTAAATCTATGGCACAGTCATAGGGACGATGCGGAGGAAGAGAAGCAGCACGAGACTTACTGAACACTTCCCTCAGGTCCTGGTACTCCTCGGGCACGTTCGACAAATTCACCGCCTCCTCCTGGAACACAGAGACTGGTACAGACGAACACGCAGACACTAGACATGACTCATGACACATATTACTCCACATAGATACAGAATTGTGACCCCAATCGACTCTGGGGTTGTGTTGAGTGAGCCACGGGTGACCAAGTACAATGGGTGTAAGTGGAGAGTCCATGAGGAGGAATGTTATTGTCTCAGTGTGATTGCCAGATGTAATGAGAGTGATGGGTTCAGTGGTATGTGATATGTTAGGAAGTTGTTGACCATTGAGAGCGTGGACGGCGATCTTGTGTGTGAGAGTAGAAACAGGAATGTGAAGACGTTGTGCCAGTCCAGAGTCCATAAAATTACCTTCTGCCCCCGAGTCCAGTAAAGCCTTAGTGTCGTGCGTGTGAGTTGCCCACCTAAGTCTTACCGGGAGGAGGGTAGATGATGATGGTGATGAGGTCTTCCTGGCGGAGATCCCACCCGATAGTAGCCTCATAGTTACTACCGGGCTTGATCTTTTACTGGGCACGAGTGAATAAAGTGCCCCATCCTCCCGCAGTATAAGCACAGTCCCTGGGACCTCCGCCGTTCTCTCTCCTCCCGGGAAAGCCGAGCTCTACCCACCTGCATGGGCTCGGGATCGGAGACGGGGCTGACCGTGTCCACGTAATCAGCGCGCGAACCCTCCGCGCCACGAAATGGCTGGTTCTGTAGGACGCGACCCATCCTACTCAGGCGTGCATCCACTCTCAATGCCAGTTCAATGAGTCCATTAAGTCGAGGTGGTAGATCCAGCATGTAGATCTCTCGTTGGACACGGTCAGCCAACCCATGCAGGAAACTATCCCACTGTGCCTCCTCGTTCCAACGGCACTCTGCAGCCAGGGTGCGGAACCGGATGGAATATTCCGACACCGAGCCGTTACCTTGGCGGAGATCAGTGAGTAGTCTGGCTGCCTCCCTACCCGCTACCGCGCGATCGAAAACCCTCCTCATCTCCTCGGAGAGTGCCTGGAACGAGGCGCAGCATGGGTCTTGATTCTCCCACACCGCCGTTCCCCAAAGAGCCGCTTTGCCAGAGAGCAGAGTGATCACAAACGCCACCTTCGATTGTTCTTGACTGAACGTCTGGGGCTGTAAGGCAAAATGCATAGAGCAACGAGTCAGGAAAGCTCTGCAATATTCAGGTTCACCTGCATACCCTTCTGGTGTAGGAAGTCTTGGCTCTCGCTGATGATGCGACTCCGGTGGAATGGGTTGAACGGGCGGTGTGGGCGGCACAGTGGGATCTCTAAGTTGTTGAAGCTGTTGGGTGAGCTCGGACACCTGCGTCACAAGCGCTTGGACCGCCCGACCAGTGTTGGCGATCGACTCTTGTTGTTGATCCATTCTTGAGATGCTCATGGCAGCGAAGTCATCCCAGCTCGTAGCGCTTGCTGCATCCATGATGTGGTCAGATCGTTCTGTTACGGAACGACAAAGGCAGGATGCAATTGCAAAGAACGCTATTTATTATCTCAAAAGGTCAGAAAAGTACAAACACACAGGGAACACAACACAGAGGAATGGTCGAGCGGACACCAGCGCAGGATGTGAGGTGACGCAGGGACCTCGGTGGACAACTGGTGATGGTGCTCGGTGATCCAACGGTGGTGCTCTGTGATCCGGTGGTAATCCCAAGTAAGGTGCTCTGTGGTCCAGTGAAGGTGAAGTAATCCAAACAACCCGACACGACGAGAGACACAGGGAATCCACGATCCAGGAAGACAGACACGGGAACAGGAACAGGAACACGCCAGGGATACCAAACAACGATCTGACAACATGAGACAGCAGTTACTGACATATAAAGGGACAAACAAGTGGAACCAGCTGGCGCCGCTAATCAAGGATGATCAGCGGCCACACCCACACACACGCAACAGCACGCAGGACGAGAGAGAGACGGTGAATTGATCAACCGTGACAGCTCCAGTCCACCAGTTTTCAAACCTGTATTCAGCCCGCGCAATCCCATAATGCCACATCACAGTAAATTGTTGTAAAACGTATGAACTACAGTGAAAACACCTCTTACCTGTAAATCAATTTACAGTTGATAGGGAAATATACTGTTAACAACTGTAATACTCTTTTTGACCCATAATGCATTGCGAATTACAGTAATAACTTGTAAAATGATAAAACAATACATTTCTGTAGAATTTTGCTGTAGAATCTACAGCAATTTGTTACAGTGTATGCGTAGTCGCCGGATAGCCGCAGTAGAACGGCAACAGAAGAGAGCGGCTTCCTTAGAGAAGAAAAGGCGCTGGTCCGCTGCAGTAAGGCTCGTTCTAGCTGCTTGGCTTGATTCTACGGCGAAGCTTCTCAGAGGAGACAGAGATGTGAAAGGTCGCTGAAGGCGATTAAATCTATGCAATGGCGAAATGGAGCAGGTTTTATAGCCATGAAAAAAGCTTCTTTTTTTTTTTAGAAAAGCTTTTTTAAGGGGTAACTTAGTGGCTCAATGGGTTGCACTGTTCCCTCACAGCAAGAAGGTTGTAGTTTGAATCTCAGCTGAGTCAGGTGGCCTTTCTAATGAAATGCATGACAGATGAATTGGAGACACTAGGCCAGGTTTTTATTTTATTTTTTTTTATTTTTTTGTCAATAAAGGTCTATGAACTTAGATAAATGCAGAAATATCTAATATATAAAATGATCTATACTCACCATACTGATACTGAAATAACCCTGTCTGCTAGGTCATGGTGTTGTCATTGCCAGAGGTAGAGACACTAGATGTCTCTCTAAGATAGATATAACATTAAATCTTTGCAACAGTGTAGACTTGGATGTAGTGGCAATCGCAATACCATCTGTTGCTCTGTTAGTCATTAACAGCTGAGTCAAAACACAGAATACTGTCAATAATACTCCAATCGTCCTGTCTGTCTGTCCTAACCCTCCTTTTACATAGTGCCTGCACTGTAGGTAGAAACTCAATCACACTACTCTATATCCTGAAGTCTGGTGTCATGCCCTGTTGCACTTTTTTTTTACAGTACGGCTGTTTTATTCTGTCATCTGCAAGTGATATTGCATGTCTTCGTCCATAGGTCACCTTAGCCAAGTAGCAACATCGAGGTGACATTAAAGCAACAGTCAGAAGCCAAGCATGGTGGGATATTGTACAATATTGTGTTACTTTTTGTTGATGAATAATACATAAAACAGAGAGATAACCTAACTGTAGGCTGTAACAAGCACAGTCTCCTTCCTCTGCAACGGGAGGCTATGACTGATTGATACCTGAGCATGTAGAGGCAGCGGCGAACTGTAAGTTGAAGTTAGTTTACTCGCATGGTGTGGGCTTTTACCTTTTGTGTGAAAGTTTAGATCTTAAAGCAGGTGTTCTTAGGTTATTTTAGAGTTCGAGAAACTGCAGTATTATTAAATATATTGTTGTTCTTTGCAAATATAGAAAAACTTGGTTTGTTTTTACAAAAGACAAAGCATTAGAGCTATCCGTGGAACTATCTGTATTGCATTTGAGGTGTATAAGTTATACTGAAAGCATTTCTTTCAATGCCTTAGATTAACTAAGGGCAGGGCTAGATAACCAAATGCGACCGATTTGCTTAAATTCAGGTGTGGGTTTGACTGCAATTTGTTGCTTTGAATGTGTACGTGTACATGTGCCTGTGTGTAATAGATGTCTTAGCCACAACAAGAAAGTATATAGGGATGTGGTTCTGATTTGCATCTAAAGTGTCAGGTAAAGATCAGTTACATGTTTTTGATTCAATGACAATAATTGACCTTGGGAAGCAGTTGGTGTAGATAGTAATGGCTGGGTATTTTTGCAGTACATCTATTTATAATAAGTGAGGTTAAATGTAAAATGCTTGTAGTAACTAAACATGTAGGATAAAAAGTTGCTATTGTTGACTTCTTAATGTGCATATTTATAATGTATATTCATAAAACAATGCTTGTATTTCCTTATCTAATTTCTAATATTTTTTGCAAATACTACAAATGCTTAAATTTAGCTTGATATTTATTTTAGTGGCTTGAGGATCATTTGTGGTAATGCTGTAAATGTGTCTAACAATAAGTCGTTTTCCTCTGTATACTTTGTCCTACTAAGGTTAAACTGAAACCTCAACCCGCTCATAGCCTTGTAAATTAGCTCAGGTCTCTTGTCTTTCTTTCCCTGGCGGTCCTGGCTCCTGTTTCCTTACTCTCCTCAAGTTGCTTCGACTTTTGTTCTTTAAAAAGGTGAAATAAGGAGACAAGCCTTACCATAGAGCAAAATGCATTATCTTGTAATGTTTCAGAGTGCTGAGCACTTTCATGAAGTTGCTCTCTGGATGCAAACCAGGCAGAGATGACATCTGGCCAAAACAGGTATGCAAATGTTGGGTGAATTCACTATTGCACTACATTTACAACTGCACCACTTTTGTGCACAGTATTTCAGTGCAAAACGCTGCACCCGCAATACAGTTTAGCTAGGTGCTAAGCGCTAAAATAGTGCTGTGCCATATTAAAATTGTCATTGTCATTCTTTGATGGAAAACCACTTCCTTTCTATGCAAATTAGCCTCATTATGGATTGTACTATTTAGATCATTGCTATTTGCCTTTTGCTATTATCGCTGTGGTAAAAAGAATTGTATTAATAAAAGAATACATTGTGTTGTGATGGCTGAAACAATTCAGCAAATCATGTAGATGATCGTTATAACCAGGCAAATCCAGATGTGTTGTAGTACACAATTTTAGCATTTTCACTTTACCTGATTTTCAAAAAATCCTTTAGTTAACCAGATGCTAAACCAGTGCAGGCAGCATGTGCAAATAAAATGGTACCAGCTCTCATTCTTAGTGAATTATCCCTTGTGTGTCTAGCGAAATTTTGCTTTGATTTAGTGCCAATAAGGTACAAAATTAATGCAAACATACATAGCCTTAGGGCTGCACGATTTGGGCCAAAATGATAATCACGATTATTTTGATCAATATTGCGATCACGATTAATTATCACGATTATTTGTTGATTTTAACCAAAACAAATTTTATTGCCACATAGGCTAATTATAACTGCTTTCACATCCATATTGTGCTACATTTCTGCTAATGTATGTGTATCTAAATAAAATAGGTCCTCTTATTCACCAAAATTCAGTGCATCTCCTTAAAGAATAAAGAAAACAATAAAGAAAATGTAGCAAAACTTCAACAGGGCACTATTTTACATTTTACATTGTGTAAATCTATTTTAGGAAGCAAAATATAAACTTGCATTGTACCTGCATAATGGATGTGAATAAAACACGCAAAATATACAATCAATAAAAAAACAAATATTCCATAACAGAATGTAACCAAATGAGAACATTTCAAGGCAGAACTGCACTATGGAAGTTCGATTAATGGATGAAATTCAGAGTCATTGTTATTTGACGCTTAATAAATGTAAAATGTTGTGGTAGGCCTACAGTGTCAGTGATTAGTTGTGAAGTCTTACTGCATAAATTTAATCTATTTAATTCTCCATGTGAAAGTTTATGTGCTCAAATTATTTCTATTTGTTAAACAATAGGTCAAAACAAGACGTTTGTAGGACTGATTATTGGAGTCCATTAATCGAACTTCCATGCCTCTTATGTAAGGGTTAATGCCCGACGAGGTGTCCGTTGTCAGGTTTTAATGGACGACGGCGAGGTGTAAACCGGCCGACGCGCAGCGGAGGGCGGTTGCCTCCGCCGAAGTCCATTAAAACCTGACAACGGTCACCTCGAAGGGCATTAACCCGCTTATACCATGGTCACTTGCCAAATAAAACATTTTTAAAACATTAGTTTATATTTTAATTAGGCTAAATCTAGTTTTTTCAAATAATAACTTGCCTGACGATTTATTTAGCAACTTGAGATATTTATAGTCCGCTCAGCTTGTAGAACCCTTCAGGTTCAAAAATGCATTTTTTTTTTCATGAAACACAAAGGTAGGCATAGTTATTTTTTTATTGCACATAAAACACTTTGTGTTACACTAGTCTACACTAACCACAGCCTCCGAAGCACCGCTGTAGGTCGACTCTCCGATGCTGGACTGGAGAGCCGTCAAATAAAGTCGGTGACAGGCCATCGATGCGAGAGCAGTCTGCGGGCTTACTGGGCTCCGTCAGTCCGTGAGAGACTGAAGATGAAATAACGAACGAAGTCGCTCATTGTAGTAGGCTATGTAATATCTAACTAACGTTGACTGCCTGTTGCTATGGTTACTCACACAGCTGTTGTAGGCAGCGCATTTATTTATTAATTTCGAATGGTAAACAGGCAGTTTCACCAGAACTACTTTAGGTGTCCTCTATCACTTTTTAACGGACACCCTGCAGCCAATCAGAATCGAGTATTCACCCAGACCATGGTATAAATAGTAAATATATATATGTAGTATGTACCAATTTACTAATGCAATTTACTAATGCTCACACTCGGTCTCTCACGCGCACTGTCACTCAGTCTCTCTCGCGCGCGACACAATCGGTAGGCGCGCGCTGTTGCTCGCACGCAGACACACTCGCGGTCTCTCTCGTGCACTGTCGCTCGCACGCAGACCGTAGGTCTCTCTCGCGCACCTGGGCTCATGGAGGCACGTGATCAGACACTGGTTTACGGTGCGCTAGATTGGCAAAAAAAAAGCTTTCTGTGAACTGAATGACGCATTTAAAATATCGCTCGATCACGCGAATTTCAGACTGATCTCATGAAATGGCGTATGTATGACACGCCAATTCGTATTTTCATTTTTGGCGTGCTATCAACACGCATAATCGCTTTTCAGCGTGTTTATCAACGCCTTTGACTTAACGTTATATTACTGTATTATGTATATATAAATATATGACCTACCCCAACCCCGTCCCTAAACCTACCCGTCACTGGGGTTAATACCATTTATGAGTCTTCTCCTACCATCCTAGGAAAAGAAATATCGCTCCACAGATGTAGATATAGATTTTGCTTCGTTTCGCTCGGACATTTAACGGCGTACACATACACGCGGAATCACTCGGACATTTAACGGCGTAGACATACACGCAAAAGATTTCGGCGTGGACATACACGCGGATAGCTCAAAATGCGTATAGATAACACGCCACTTGAATTGAAAGTGGCGTGTATGTTTACGCAAAGTCATGATGTCATGTTGCGAATTTGATCGTGGGAAGCCAAAATCGTGATCGTGATTAAAATTCGATTAATCGTGCAGCCCTACATAGCCTACTTCACTTTTGATTGCTTCAAGGTGAGTCTTGCTGCCAAAAGGTTAGGGTGGGGGTTCTCATCTCTGGCACTCGAGGTCCACTTTCCTGCAAAGTTTAGCTCCAACCCTAATCAAACACAACTGAACAAGCTAATCAAGGATTCAGGATTACTAGAAATGCTGCGTTCACGCCATGTGATAATTATCGTAGTCTCGAGATGACAACATGTGACGTTAAATTCAGAGCTGTTCACGTCCTCGGACAATATGGCTCCGCTATCAACGCCTAAATGAATCTGCAACGGTCAGGTGGTACAAGTAGGAGCTCTCAGAATACGTACAGGCTGTAATTACGAGCTCTACGAGGTCGTGAACGTTTTTTTTACAAGTTTAAATCGTGGAATTACGACATGGTGTGAACACACGTAAAGATACTGGCAGGTGAGTATGATCAAGGTTGGAGCTAAACTTTGCTAGAATGTGGACCTTGAGGGCAAGAGTTGAGAACAAAGGTGTTCTGGGAGGTTGCCAGAGTGTGGTGGTTGTTATGGTGTTCTGTGTGGCTGCTTGGTGTTTGCTTAATGGCCCACATGAAAAGAGTCCATTATCATTAATGCCTCAAACCCTAAGTATGAGCAGCAATAGTGATGCTTGCCTTTGCAAGGCCATTTAAAAATGCATACGCTAATGCATCTAATAACCTCTAAGTACCTCAGGTAGGGGAGGTCATGTTACATACTCACACCCAATGTCTTGTAATTTGTGAATGCTAAGGTGCGCTAGTCTTATCTTTTGGTTTCTCCTGTGTCTCTGTGTCATGGAGTTTTGTAACATATAGAAGCTCCATTCATTATTAAACATGTCTGGAAGTTCCTCGGCTACTATACATTGAGCTGTACATGTGCTCAGTTACATGCAACGTTGCCTCGCTGTTTAGAAGGCTAATCTCTAATTTAGAAGGCTAATTTAGAAGGCTAATGGCATAAGTAATGACTGATAATGTCCTATCATGCTCAAATGACATTTTATAACAGGTTTGGTTTTTTTTTAAACTTGTTGATATAATTTATGCTGTTTTTTTCCGAAAGCAGGCAGACCAACATGCTCCCTTTGACTGTATAGTACTGATACTGAAACATATTAACTTAATTGTCACTTTCTACAAATGGGTGCAAAATATGAAGGAACTTGAAATTAAGCAAAAGGAGCCACTGACAAAAAACAAATGTTGCAGGAGTAGGTAATAGGATTGCAGATGTAGCCTAGATTAAAATGTCCCTCAGTAGGGAGCTAATTAATTTGGGACCAAGCGTTGGTTTGTAGCGGTTGATAAGCGTATATTTCTGTTTGATCATTTTCTTAACACATTAACTCTAGTAATGATTGACTGGGTTGAATGATTGAGCGAATTATAGAAAAAATACAGCCAGCACTACAATTTGTGAAAAATTAAGAAAATGGAAACTTGGATTTACTTGTCAAGTCAAGTCACCTTTATTTATATAGCGCTTTTTACAATACAGATTGTATCAAAGCAGCTTCACAGTGATAACATGAAAATAATACAACAAAGTTTGTTTCTATAAGAAAATTGCGTCAACGATATCAATAATATTGTTGAATATTAAATGTCCCCAACTAAGCAAGCCAAAAGCCAAGGCAACAGTGGCAAGGAACCAAAACTCCATCAGGTGACAGAATGGAGAAAAAAACCTTGGGAGAACCCAGACTCAGTTGGAGGGCCAGTTCTCCTCTGGCCAACGAAGGAACAGTGTATGATTCGGGCAGCATTACAATCAGATTGGATCGGAACATTTAGAGTATTTATCCATTTCCATTTGTTTGGAAATCGAAGTAATCACGCCTGTATGGAGACGAGTTGTTGAGGATCAGTGCCGATGGCTGTCGTGTCGATGAGGCCTTCACAGGGCTGATGAGGCTGGCACTTCAGGATGAGTTGGGATGGGTCCAGGCGCAGGTCCACCATAGAGGGTCCCTCGGGATAAACAGAGAGACTAATATTAGCGTAGACGCCATCCTTCTTATGATGTACCAAGTACATCAGGATTTACAGGACGTGTTCCCGGTTCCGGCTGATCTAAACTATGCAGCCTAATTTTGAATTAAGGAAG